AAACTAACACCAGCTGAAAATACGCACAGCACACATGATAGAGAATTACTCGCTATCTGTACTCGCACTGTAAAGAATTTTCAACACAATCTTGAGGGACAACACTTTAAAATATATACAGATCATTGCCCTCTCATATTTATTTAGGAAGAATTTAGATTCTACATCCCCCAGGCATATATAAGACATATGAATTATTCTGTCGCTCAAGCATTTTTAACCCACTGGATTGCTAGGTTTGGAGTTCCCACTATCTTAAGTACTGATCAAGGCTGACAGTTTGAGTCGCGCATGTTCACTAATTTCAATAAAATTCTTGGTGTTTACTGAATTCGTACTTCTCCATACCAACTTGCAGCTAATGGATTAATTGAGAGATTCCATCATTCACTAAAACAAGCATTAATGTACCATAATAATGTCCAACGAACGGTGAGCCTTTCAATTGTACTCTTCGGTCTTCGAGCAACATACAAAGAAGATCTGGAAGGAACATGCTTGGAAATGGTTTATGAAATGACTATTCGTCTTCCTGCAGAATTTTTGCAACCCACCAAAGTTTCTAATTCTTCTGATCTAATTTCATTTTTACAAAAGTTGTGTGCGGCAATGAGAGAGATAGCAGGGTTACCTACATTAGCCCATGTTAACAATAAGTGTTTGGTGTATCCAGCTTTACAGTCATGCACTCACACATTTGTGAGATACAATGCAATAACACAGGGTTGCCACTCAAACAGCAGAATGAAATTCCCTGACTTTTCCAGGTTTTCCAGGTATGTTTCAAGAAAATTCCAGTCTATTCGCGTAATGTACGTTGGCTGTGCTAAGAGGTAAATTAATTATGGTATTACTTGTACTGTGTAGCAAATTCACTTAATTATTCAATAAATCCCAGAGGACATTTATTCTTAATTATTCTTGGTACACTTTGTTTGATAATTTTGTTTACTTTTCCACTTAAGAAACTTAATAAAATTTAAGATATATACATTGGATAACAATTGTACGCTTTATTTAATTATTACTCATGATCATCACCAGTTCAACATGAGGCTAATCCGGTTCTTATAAATCACAACGCAATGCTAAAAGTTAGGTTAGATTTTAGAGTAAATTTTAATTTGTGAGGTGTCTTCTTAAAAAAGGCACCTTAACACCTGAAAACACAAATATAATTACAATAGGAGGTGTTTTCTCCACTGAAGATTGAGATTAGAATCTCCCTAATTTGGAATAAAATAAGGCATTTTTTGCAGACATTCTGCAGCTAAATGAAAGAAAGAAATCTATTTAATGATATTTTTTTACTAAATTGAGGTATTTTATATTTATTTCGCAGCATACATAAGGAAAAAATATGTGCATTAAATTTCGTGATGTCACATACTGCTAGGATTAATTTCAGGATTATGCCAGAGAAAATTTCCTGAAATTTGGAAATATTATTTACTAATGATAAATAAATTTAGAGGGAAGAAAGAAACAACATTAAATGATATGAATAACATAAAAATAAAGATAATTACTTAAAAATTGAATTAGAATAATCAACGATATTTTAGCGAATATAGTTATATTACATGGTCAGCCTAGATGACTGATTACTATTTTTTTATTTTACTGCAAAATGACAAGGTATTTATTAAAAAGAAAAAAAAAAGGTTTTGCGGTAAAATCCTAACGGTACGGCCTTTGCACGATTTTGAAAATTGTCGCCAAGAACAAAATGACTCGTTTACTGCTCATCATCATGTCGCCAAATCCTGCTGTACCATACCTGGAGATTATTCTAACCAAAGAACATCTATGTAAAGAAGAAAAGGTTCCATACACGTAAATGCTATTACGCGGCTAGAAAGCGGAGGGAAAATTTGCCAAGGGATTTGGTGACGGAACCTGGCGGCCATAATTTCCCTCTCCGCGATGTGTACAGGAAATTGAGAAAAACGAGTTAAGAAGAAACGTTCTTTGACAAAAAAGAAAACTACGAAAATCCGTTTTTAAATTATTGCGAAAATTTCAAGAAGAAACGTTTTATCAAAGAACGTTTTTTCTTGGAACGATTTTTCGCAATAATTTTAAAAACGGATTTTCGTAGATTTTTTTTCCCTCCTCAAAATAACTAATCCATGAATTAATTTACTTGCACCAAAAAATATTTTCTTTCCTTTAAAGAAATTTTAAACGATATTCATTTTATGAATTCTTGATAACATGACCTTCAAACTTTGACACCGGTTTCGAGCTTTGGTGACAGATATATCGTGCACAGCTGTTTCCCTCTATGATGGAACGGAGCCACGTCTGTTGCAGAGAGGTTTTCTTTCTTTACAATACATATTTTTTTTATTCTAACCTTCATGGTACCGTATACTAGGATTAAACCCATTTTGTTTTATACGAGAACAGGTACTTTCTTTAGTTCATGCACTGTACATGCGATTCTCGAGGTTACTGGAAACCAAAAGTTGCGGAAAACTTGATTTGCCTTTCAAAGACAATCAAATTGGAGCTGCGAAAATTGGCTCTATGCCAGCTGCCCGAATGACACGTGATACACAATTCGGCAAAAAAGTGATCTCTTCCGGCGTCGGCGCAAAACTCGCCTTTCTTGGCGGGATCGTTGTATGAAATTCCCTGACTTTTCCAGATTTTGACTAAAACACTTAAATTCCCTGAATTTTTGGGTCAATTTCCGAGTTCCCGGACTTTTTCCGGTTTTCCAGGTAGCGTGGCAACCCTGGTAAGACCACCACTGACTCGCCCATATAATGGACCGTTTAAAGTACTGAAAACAATTGATAAAAATTTTACCCTTCTTATTAAAAAAAAGAATTTGTGATCAACATTAATTGCTTGAAACCAGCATTTCTAGTTTCAAATGCTGTAGTATTGGTTCCTGTTCCTGAGCAGACTCCTACAATAAAACAGAATGACACTATGCCTCCAGTGCAGACTACTCATTCTGACAGAACAAGTCAGGTCCCCTACATATTTCTGATCCCTTGTGCCTTTGGCATGTGTGTGGAGGGTACTGTAACAGCGTATTTGCATTTTGACATTTGCATGCAGTATTCATGCTCACTGCGCTATACTGTGAATACTCCCTATAGTGCTAGTATAAAAACTGAATTTTTTGACAAGAGATTCTTCTGTACTTGTACTTCACTGCTTCTGTTTGTCTGTGGTTGACAATTTGGCATCAGCTCATCACCATGTATTTAGTTTCATATTTTACTTTCAGATTTTAAATTTATGTTTTCCCAAAGTTCTCGACTTTCCTTCTGACAAGTGCGGAGTCTGGTGGCATAAACCAATGTCGAAAAGCTAACAAAATGGTTAAACAGGTTGTTTTACTAAAAAGCTTAGATTGTAATCCCGTGGAAAATAACCTATGGGGTATTTTGTTTTTAAAATTACACACAAATAGTAACATATGTAACAATGCAAAAGCACAGATAGAACATTGCAGCATGCACTTGAAAATGTTCTTTACATGCTCACTCAATGCTGAACCTTTTGTTTGATATGGCATTCAGCTGCAATGATTCAACCAAAGATTAAGTTCGTTGAATTTTTATTTTTTTCTGACAAACTTTTAGTACCATATTTTTTTTATTATTTTTAACAGATTGGTTAAAGAAAACATTTTCAAGTCTTATGGATTCTTAATTTTACCGTAGTGAAATAATTTTGCACTGATTACAATATTTACACTTGAAATAACTTTTAAATCATTACAGGGTTAGAGCAGATTGAAAGGTGCCCTTTGTATTATTGTGAAGTTGTTGTTTCATTTATCGCCAAGTTGTTGTTTCATTTATGGTAACCTGAGTAGTTGAATGTCATGGAAACCCCATTATGACATAATCGATTGCGTGTTGCCCTAAATTTTGAATGACGGGAGAAAGATTTGTAAGGGCTTGTGGTGTGTGTTGGTTAAAAAGTACATTGCATATTTTGTGGTTTGGACGGTAGAATGGATGAATGTTGTAAGATTAATTTGAATTTCTTATGATTTGAAATGAAAGGAGAAAAGTGCATTAATTGACTGGTGTGTAAATGAAGGTTTACTTAGTAGCCATAATAAGTGTCCCGTTTGTAGCAAAAAAATGCATATGGTTGAACACCGGAGGATATTTTTTAACTCTTTTTTTTTTTTTTTGTGAATTTATGTGGCGACGCCGATATATGGATTCTAGTTCAGATAATTTTAGGAAGTTTTTCGATGCTGTTCAGATAATTTTAGGAAGTTTTTCGATGCTGTTAAGGCATTTTTTGTACCACAGTTTGAAGGATTCAGAAATTTCTAAATAAGGTAAGTGGGTATTTGCTAAAATGTAGTTTATTAAGATTATGTATTTTTGGTTTGGCTCTACTGTAGAACTGTGTGCTCCTTTGACTTTTTAAGTGAAAATAGATCAATGTGTACATGGACAAAGTCACGGGAGTGCACAATGCCAAGTTTGTGCAATTCTCTGATGTTTTTTTAGGTGAAATAGGTCAATGTGTACATGGATACAGAGTTTGTGCAATTCTTTGACTTATATTGTATTCATGCAGCAGCGATTTTTGATGCAAAAATTTTTGATGCTATACAAAGCCAAAATAACAAGTCAAAGAACTGCACAAACTCGGTATCCATGTACTGCTAAAAATCACCAATTTTCGCAAAGGTGCACCTGAAAATATATTTTTACCCATTACAGTCATAAATTTATGGAACCAACAGTATTTAAAAGGTAAGTAGATTAGAAGAAGTTATCAGAAGTAGAAAGCAGACAAACTGCTTCCTTAACATGAAAAGTAAAACACATAATTCTTTGATCAAGTAGAAGTTTTATGGTGAAAATTTAAGAATCTTAAACTACCTTAACAGTCCCCCCCAACTAGTTTCCTGGGTTTCAACAGATACTGTCTACATATCTGTAACATGTGCCCTAATTATGTACCTAAGCTAGATAAAAAAACAAAGCATATTTTTTAAAAAGTTATACCTTTCTTGCAGAATTTAGGAAGGTAGACATGTATTCATATGCTTCAGTATGTGCATTTACTCTAGTTTCAGAACCTTCTACAGGCAAAGCAAAACAATCCATAACAATCATTGTTCCAATTGCGACTTTTCCAAAAAGCATACCCATAACTTCAATTTTTCCACCAGTTCTTGCATGCATCATCATTTTCAGCAATGCATTAACAGAAATCTTGACTGCTTTAAAAAATCGAGGGCTGAAAGTAAAATGTTTTGCAAAATATTTAAAAACATTCTATGAAAACATAACATAAATAAATGTATGTTTACAATTTACTGAACATGACTTAAATAAAATTAACACATGTGTCATAACAGGTTAGACTGTAATTAAAAAACAGATTTTAATGATATACAACCCTAATGTAGTATCACATACACATAGTAGTTGACCACATTTTTACCAGGAAAACTACAGAATACAAAATTTTTCTTTACATATTTAACTACAATTGCATTTAATAAATAAAAAAATTATGCTATCTTACTGCTATCATTATATATCTATCTTTCCTTATAAAAATAAATTTTAACTGATTACATATAAATATCTGTAATTCTAAGTACTGCATAAAAGAGGAAGTTTTTCTGCTTAAAAAGAAATGTTATGTATATTTGTTTACTTAAAAAAAAACTTAAAAAATTTCAGTTGCATGGCTAAAATATATCATTTTTATGCTTTATTAATATCTCCAAATTTTTGCTTTCTCATTAAAATTTTAACAAAGACAACTATAAATTGGTATAATACAAATTACTTCAAAGTTGCAATTAATCCTATCGGCAGACCACTTTGAAAGTTTAACACTTGCTATTATTGCATTCTGCCAAAGTTTACTTTAGTGCAACCAAAATTCACTTATATTTTTATGCTTATGGCACTGTTATGATTTTTATCACTGATGTGGAAACAAGCATTTCCCCCCCTTTCCCATTTTTCTATGATGTGGTCTAAAAACAGATTATGCTTTATATGTTAATTTTGTGTATGTGCATTAAATAATGCTTTACCCAAAACTTTTGTAACTTTAAAAAAAAAGAAAATCTGTTAATCATTATAACACGTAATTAAACTAGTGGTGAAATGATATAATGAATCCAAAGTGAAAAAGGAAAGTAAACTGACAATCATTTCAGCAGAAGTGAAGAAAATAAGTTACACTTCAATTAATCAATATCTGAAATTGATAGAGTTGCCGCACATGACACAAATAATTTCTAAGACCACTTCTATATTGAATAAACCATTTTTTCTTAGAAGCCAATAGAACTGATGAGAGCAAATGTGAAATGTGAGAGCTATGTTGAAATCTATTTGCAAAATTCAAGTTAAACATTCTTACAGCACTTCTGTCACTACAGAAACTGTCAGAAAACATTCTGTGGAAATAGCACCTTGACATCTTTCTCCAAAGACATTTGAAATTTATTGTAAATTGCAGAAAAGAATACAACATCATGACGAAAGCTTAAATGATTAGGTAACCAAATTGGAATGTTTAATGAAGAGTGTAATTTAGGAAATTCATTAAAAAGCATTTACGAGATAAGCTTATTTGTGAAATATTAAACGACTCAAAGACCTTTTCTTTCAGAATCAAAATGAACATAAGATACAGCTATAACAGAACACTACAGGTGGCATAACCATACCATTTCTTTCCTAATGAAACAAGCAATTTTGAGGCTTTATAAAATAACTGTTTATGACAAAATTAAGATCATATGATAAATTTTAATTATGGTTCTAAAATTTCTTTTTTGAGATGTTTACCCTAATCTGAATATTAGAAACAAATATGCAAAAAGTCTGATAACAGGAAATAGAAGCTGCATAAATCACCCTGCCAGATGATAAGAGTCTGAACATTATATTATTAATGTTGACTGAAAAAGGTAGAGTAAACAACAATATTTTCATTCTGCTTTAACTGAAACTGAATTTGCATTATAGAATTATATCATATCAAAACAAAAGTAACAGCATATACAACGCTGTTGGAACGAGACGGCTCCTGACCTAATGCAACCTAAGAGGTGCCAAACCGGATTAGTGCCGCTCCGCCCTTGTTCAATCGACGATGTTGCAACCCCATAGAGCAAGGGCAGACAAAGACAAAACAGTACCAGTACAATCCCTGCCAAGCCTTACTCTGTCCTGAGAGCCCTCAGGCTTTCTATGAAGTCTGTTATTATGCCTAGATACAGATCCTAACCAGTACTTCTCAGGCGTTTGCCTGAGTCAACCCCTCCGGGGGGGGTAACAGCATATACAGTACAAAGTCAGAAATCCGGAACGATCTAAAATCCGGACCTCAAAACCATCAACGCTTTTTTCCCTAGGCTTTATGCATGCGCATTTGATTTCCCCCTCCGTGCATAATAAAACATCTGGAGAGTACTGATTCTTAATTTCACTTCGACACTAAATAAAATACCCTGTTTTTAAAGAAAATACATTTTAGCATAAATTTGTAAGATCAGTAATTTGGCTTTGTTGCTGGGTATCTGCTTTTTGGCACACATCTCAAACCAAAACAATCCACATAGATACATTGTTGATCTCAATATCAAGGACACATTAGGATCTGAATCATTATTTATTATACTTCCCTTTCATCACTACATGTTTATCAAAATATGACAACTTGAGTAATGACTCATGTAGCGATGCCTAAACAGTATTTTTATGTTAGCAATTAAATAATAAAGGAGTATGGTAACCTTTTATGTTGACATTACGCTTGGCGATGATTACAGTTTTAAGTTACAGATGATTAAAGATCGCAGAATTTAGGACCACAGAGACTGCATCAGGAGGTAAGATATCTAACGAAGGCCTGCAATAAGGCTTAAGTATATGTGAAAATTTTATTCAGAGAATAAGCCTTAAGCATGAGCAAGAAATAGACACAAGTATAGTAAATAGCTAATACAATTCAAGCTTAATTGTCTCAGTGCACGATAGAAACAGTATAAAATTTAACAGAACAACTTGTGGTTAGTCGCCAAGCTTATGATGCATAGCCAAATATGTATAGTGAAGGATAGCTAAATTTGATGATAATAGCCACTAACTTTAAAAGGTTTTTGAATATTGCTAAACAAAGGTGAAATTTTCCAATTAACGGATTTTGTAAAGAAATGTGGAGAAGCAGTAATAAATGAAGACAATATAAAAGACATTTTTCATTGTGATGACAATGCATCTCAACCATCAATCAATGAATCGCAAAATCTGTTGTATGGTTCTACATCCAGAAAATACCGCTATCGCGAGTGAAGAAAGTGACAGAGAAAGTTTACTTGAAAACGAGAAAATTTCGATTGACAAGTTAGTCGAAATTCTCGAAACAGTAGGTTACCAAGACTTCAACAATGGTGTAACTCAACAAAGAGATTATGCCTGTCTGCATGAAGAATTAAAGAAGAAAGTATTAGCACAAAAAATGAAAGCAACTTTAAACAACATACATTGAACGTAAATGTTTTAATAAGGTAAACAAATAAATATTAAGCTTTTTTTTGTTTTGGAAATTTTGATACCCTTTAGATCATAAATACTTTCATTATTTCATAAACCATGATTTCATATTTTTAATTTTATAATTTCTACATTCAATCTTACTAGATTTAAACTGATGATCTAATATATGGAAAAATCCCAAATCCGGAATCGGCGAAGACCTGACGAGTCCAGATTTCGGACTTTGTACTGTATTATGCAGAAGTTTAGAAGAGTTCTATTATCTTCACAATGATCAGACACAATATCATTGCTTAATAATCTTTCTAAAAACATAAACGTCGAAAATTTCTATGAAAAAGAAATTACATTATTTTATTTCATACCTGCAGTTAAATATTAGCCCAAGCATTTTCTACAAAATGTAAAATTTATTGACAACCAGCATTTTAAAAATCAAATGAAACAGCCTCAGTTTATGAAAAAAAGTTTGAAAATAATTTAAAATTTTAAACAAGAATTTAGGAACGAGTCATTTTGCTAAATTTTGCATATTTTTATGACCATAAATGAAAATAGAAAAACACACAATTAAAGAAAATTATTTTCAAAGCCATAGTGAAGTTACAGTACAACTAAGTGGTATTATTCTCAACTTCAGTGTTAATACATTAAGCACTATGTGTGATAGAGAAGGAAGTAAATAAATAGATAATTTGAATGCCAATTCATAAGCAGTTAATGCACAACATTAAATTAAAACACAATTTAAGCAATGTTAGTTTTCAAATAACATTTTTAAAGTTTTTTATTCTATATTTTTGAGTTAATTAAATTGTTTTCAGGTGTCGTCCAGATACAGGGTTGAGACACATTTCTTTAAATGGAAATTCAGGATATTTAAGAGCCATCAAATAAGAAATTTTAAGGACTTATCAAAAAACAGAAAGGAATAAATTAAAGCAATTATCTACAAAACAACCTTCTATTTTATAATATGATTTAAAAAATAAAACAGAAATATACTAATTGCTTTTATAAAACACATTCTAATATTTAACATCAATCTTGAGTATAAAACCAACTCCTTAAAATTTTCGAAGTAGTTTACATTACAAAATTAATTTCTTGAAACACTTATGTTCTGTACTTATATTACACAGGCGGGAAAAATTAAATGAACTATGAGAAATTGCTAATTTAGTTTCTTCTATTAAATGAAGCCTATTAAAGTGAATGAAAGGTGGTTTGGTTGCTCAAACTCGAGGTTCCCTTTCCACTACCCTGACATATGCAAAATTTTTCAACACATCAATGCTTCAAATTCTAATTTTGAAGATTGCGATTAGCTGATTAAAATTTTCGTACGTGGAAGATTGGAACATGTCATCGAGACATGCTATGAGCAGAATAGAAGCAGGAAAATTTAACTCTGAATAGAGTGGCTGTTTTGTCACAATCCATTAATATGAAAGGTCTTGGTACTGTTTAAATAATAGAAGTCACAAAATAAAACAGTACTATTATAGAAAATTCAGATGACTTAGTTGTCAGTGTGTTTTCAGAAAATTCTCCAATACATATGAGAAACAATATAATCTTATTGTAAAATAGTTTATTCCATATTAATACTAATAATACATTTTTCATTTTATCCCAGGCTTTTCAACAGTTTTAGCCTCTGAAATACAGTACAAAGTCCGAGATCCAGACTCGGTGGGACTTCCTCGA